CGGAGCCCGGGGAGTGTTGCCCTTCGCCTCCCGGGGCTTCTCGTGTGCGCTGCCTCCCGGGGGCTGGAGCCGCCGTGAGCGTGAAGTGAGGAGCCCCGGGGATCTTGGCGGGGGGTGCGAGGGTTGCGGTGCCCGGTGACAGGACAAGGGGTAACAGGCACAGCCTGGAACGAGGGAAGCTGCATCTCAACGTGAGGAGGGACTTTTTTACTTTGAGGGTGTCAGAGCCCTGGTACAGGCTGCCCAGAGGGGTGGTGGAGTCTCCTCTCTGGAGACTTTCCAAACCCACCTGGGCATGTTCCTGTGCCGCCGGCTCTGGCAGGGATGTTGCACTGGGTGATGTCTAAGAGGTCCCTTCCAACCCCAACTATTCTATGATTTTGTGAAGCTTTTGTGAGTGTGGCCATGGTGTCTTCTAGGTGGACACCTGCTTGCTGGGCAAAAGGCTCATTCTAAATTACCAAATTTATCTGAGAAGTTCCTGGGGAACTGCAGCCTTTAACTGCAGATGCAGCATGTTCACCCTGAAGTGGTGGCATCGAGATCATGGAAATAAAGGTGTTTTCTTCTAAGAATAGATAAATAGCTAACACGTAATTATCATGGTTAATTAACGCCAAACTTAAATGCTGGTTTACAAAAGTGATTGAGAGTAGTCTTTGTTGGTAGAAATGTTGTATAACTTGGCAGGCACATAACATAAAATATGTATTTTTAGCAATGGAGGCTCCATATGATGGCACTGAAGTAACTGTGGTAATGGAGGAAATTGAGGGCACTTACACTTACGCATCACCAGTGCCATCTAAGAAGAAAAAGAAATACAAAAGTACTGGCGATCATGGAGAAAAAGCTAAAAAGCCCAGGTAAGTTCTTTCTGCTCTCACTTAATTCCTATGTAGGATAAGGGGTGACCTTGTAGTGTAGGGTCAATGGTTGGACTTGATGATTCCAAGGGTCTTTTCCAACCTGAGTTGTTCTATGATTCTTTGTTTTGGATGAGAGTGAGCTTTGTTGTGCGCTTGGAACACTTCATAATGTAAAACATCACGTATGAAACATTGGGTTGACACTTCAGGCCCGCTCTGCCATCTGTGTCTTTACATGTGCTGGTTTCCTTGATCTAAAGCTCTCATGTGCCAAAATAATTTGCCATAAGCTCTTTCTCCTTACTTCAGAGGTTCTCCTCAGAGTCTTAATTTTCATTTGATTAAAAAAAAATGCACTCACAAGTAGAATTGGATGTAACGTGCTTGTCGTTTGACTGTGAGACAAATGTAAACTTCATGGATTACTTTTTCCAAAGGAGTTTGTGTTGAATGATGTTAACGCTTCAGTCTCTGATTGCATTTCAGATCTGCTTACCTCCTCTACTACTATGACATTTACTTGAAAGTACAGCAAGAGCTTCCCCACCTCCCTCAATCTGAAATCAACAAAAAGATCAGTGAGAGCTGGAGGTTGCTCAGCGTGGCTGAAAAAAGCTATTACTTGGAGAAAGCCAAGCTAGAGAAAGAGGGATTGGACCCGGTAAGTCATCTTTCTGGCAGTTCTTTGCCATGTGAAGAGAGAGGCACTTCACTGCTTACACTGCGCCGTGTGTGGGCGAATCGTTTAACTGCAGATTCCAGTTTGTATTTCTTCCTGTAAAGAAGCATTGTGCGAGGCCGCTGCCTCTTGCTTTCGCCTTCTGTTCAGTCAAGGGGTAGTGTTTTGAAGTTCAAGATGGATGTGCCTCATACCTGCTGATGGGAATGGTAGTTGTTTTTGTGTCGTGCCATCAGGGAGATTAATGGTAAAGTGCTTGATAAAGCTGAGAGGGATTCTGCAGGCTCTGCCATATGGAGAAATTCCCAGAAAACTGCTTCAGAAAACTGTTTGAACTTCAGGCACTAAAATAGCAAGATGAGAGTTGAATCTTCCTTTTCTTGTATTCATTTCTATACTCTGTTTTTTGCCAACAGAACTCCAAGGTGTCCACTCGAACTACAGTAGTTCCAGACATTCCAGGTTTCCGTAAGATTCTTCCTCGCTCAGATTATATATTTATTCCCAAAACCACTCTTCAAGAAGACAGGAGCAGGCAGTCGCTGGAACTGTGCGTGACGCAGAGTCAGGCTGTGTCCGAAGGGTTAGCAGCTCCCCCTGACATCACAAATGTCTCCCGTGATTCTGTGCAAAACATCCTTTCGGTGGACTCGAGCCACGTTAGCCTTTCTGAGCGGTGCATTGCCATCGAAGGACTCACAGAAGAGACTGCTGCCTTTGGTCAGCCAGATGCTGTGGAAGAAGTGGTTGCATCAGAGGTTCTGTCTCACTGTGTTGCCCCCGTGACAGACAAAGTGGCTGGAGATATCCTCTTGGATGAGGCTTCTTTGGAACTAGAAGGGCAATCGTATCAGACAGCTCGGGTAGTTATTGAAGAGACTCTAGTTAGTGGCTCCACAGACATCTCCAACGGGAGTATTGCTGTGGCTCGCCCTCAGGTTCCAGATGGTGTGTCTGTGGTGACCGTAGTGACTGGGAGGGTAAGTTTTTCTAGTGACACTCAGACTCTTGCCAGAATCTCACCTGAAATGCCTGAATGCTGTTACGTTTTACTGAGGATCATCCCTGGTGGCTGCAGGAGGTCCTGTACTGCCCGGCTTGCCTACGCTCTGTGCTGAGGGAAGCTGCAGCTTTTCTAACGTGGTGGTTACAGCGTCTCTGCCCGCAGACTGGCTCTACCGTCTGCTGGTATCACTTGTGTCTTATGACTGCTTGAGGTTTTTTCAGTTGCTTCTTACAACAGCAGTGCTTGGGGTGGGTTCCTCAGTTACGGTAAAAGATTTTGCGGAGAAAGAATATTATCTCTGTGCTACTGATAGCTGTTTTATTGGTTGCAGAGAGGTAGAAGGGAGGTGTTTTTTTTTTTTTTCCTTTGAGGTATTAGGAGTTGGTTGTAGAAAAAACTTACTCTGTGAAGAAGTGGTTCTCCTTTTTTCAATTTCAAGCTCCGAAGAGTTTGGTAATTTCCAGAGTAGAGCTGGTAAGGCCATTGCTTTTGAAATGATCATTCTTCTCTCCTGCTTTCTGGTCTTATCAGTCTTTAAGACATGTTCAAGTGCTAGTGTTCATGAGAGGGTGGAACACAGGTCACCATGTCTCGTTTTCTGCATATATTTTCCCTTTGATTTCTTTTTAGGATACTGAAGAGAGTAACTCCTCTACACCTGCGACACAGTTTATTATGCTGCCTTTACCAGCTCATTCTGTTGTGGAGAACCCAACGTCAATTAAATTGGTAAGAAATGCAGAGTCTCGTGTGGTATTTTAAGGTAATACCTTAAATACCTAAAGTTTCTCTTAAAGATATTAGAGTAGGAACAGTTTGATCATGGTTTGGTTCTTAATGCAGTTTGGAGTCATTGTGTCAGTTCTTGTCCCAGGTTTTATGCCTTGTGTCTGCTTATGGGGATCTCTGACTTCCTAGAGTGTCTTCTAGGAGCTCATTTTTGCTGCCCTCTTCCTCAAGGAGTTCTTGGAAACAGATGGAGTAGATAATGCTGTTACAACACATCTGGCCAGTGGCATTTTCTGTGTTTCCCTTTTCGGGATCTGTGTAGCCATATGCATCCTCTACTTGGATGCACATTTGTCTTTGTAAAATGCCAATGTCCATCCCTTTAAGGGCAGGAATCTGCTCTTGTGAGAGGAAAATGTGAGCTCCCCGGTCTTGTGGGTGGCCGTTGTTTTGGCTGTGTGAAGGAGAGGAGCAGTGACTGAGGATTTAGAGAACCCATGTAAAAGGTGGTGTGGCCCATTGCATGAGGCTGAACAATATTATTTCTCAAATGTAACAGACGCCTGTATTTCTGTAGTCTTGTAGGACTTCGTTGTACAGTCAGCACTGCTGCTCCTTACCTTGTGTAAGCTAGCACCGAGTCTTGTTTTCCGGGTCCTCTTTGCTTCCAGCTGGTGGAACACTGCAGATATTTATAGCGGTGCATAGCCTCATGTCCTTCCAGGTGCCTTAGGAAGAATGGAAATACCTCAGGTTTTTGTTCCTGTGAAGTGCCTACCTTAAATTGTGTCATTCCTTTGACAGCAGCACTCGCGTTTCTAGAAAAAGAATGGTACCTGTTTAGGGACTTAAAGAAAAACAGCTCTCTCAGGAGCATTGAGTTCAGAGTATTGAAAAGTGCTGCACTGACAAAAACTGAAGGTTCAGCTTCAGTTATCCTTGTAAATAGCACCTGGTGGTGCTGCAGGTGTTAGAGTGAAGTTACAGTGAAGCACCGTCATACCCGAACGCTGCGTACACCACCAGAATACTGATGGAAAGCGCCTCTGCGTCCTGAGTGCCTGCCTTCAGGTCCTGTCGCCCTGTTGACGTGAGTCTATTAGTCGTATCTTGCCTCAATGTGGACTGCTGTTTGAATCAGTCTTATACCATCTTATTGTATTCGTAAGAGAACTGTTCCGTCACTTTAAATGCAAGGTTGTCTTCTCCAGTATGTTGCACACGTTGTTCATCTCTGCTCTGCGGTTTGATCTAAATTCTGGTAATACTGAAGGTTCTTGTACAGACTGAGCATTGAGACTCAGTGTGGTTACGGTGCTGACTCGCTCCGATCCAGCTGTGGGGTGGCTGGTCAGTAAAAGGAATCGCAGTGGAGGGCTGCTGATTTGCTGAATAATGTTTGTAAAGTGCTTGTGAGGAAAGAAAGGGAATGCTGAGCACAGCTTTGTGTTTTTTCAGCTCTGTAGAGAAATTCTGAAAACTCTCATTTCAGACAACCACCTATACTCGCAGGGGACATGGGAATTGCACCAATCCTGGCTGTTCCTTCACTTACGTCACCAGGCATAAGCCACCAAAATGCCCGACATGTGGGAACTTCCTGGGAGGGAAATGGATCCCAAAGGTAAATTTGCCTTTCCTTCCCCAATTTTTGGACAATAAGTGCTGGTTGCATGAATGCTTGCAATATTTCTAGACCTGTAGATCTAGCACAGGAGATCAGATATGCCGGAATCCATCCCTGCACTTGCATTCCAGTGCTTGTGCTGGAGCAAGTCACCATTGCAGAGGACACTTGACCAAGGTGAGAAAAGACACCTTGGGTAAAGATGCCGCTTGTAACGATGTCAGAATAGATGGAGCTGCCTTTGGTAACTCTCGTTGAGAGGCTGCACGTTCTTCTGACACTTCGCCTTCATTGAAGTTCCTGCAACTGGAAGGCATTGCCTGCTCTGCGGGCTGCAGCCCTAGCTGAGCTCAGGAATTTGGTTGAACCGTTTGTTTTGTGGTCATTTATCTGCGCTTGAACTTGTTCTACAAATGGAGGTTTTCTCTGGTCTCTCAACATCATTTTTTCGACGGAAAGGAGAGGCAATTCTAAACTCTAGCAGGTATATGGTAATAAAGTTGATCTAGTAGAAGCCAAAGTTGCTGACTAATGGTCGTGTGTGGTCATTCGTGATGTTCTGACCTTTGACTGGAAGGAAATTCCCAGGTGTAGACAGAGTTGTGCAGTTTGGTTGAGTGGAAAAGCCTTTCTCCACACAATACCTACTCTGCTTGAGTTCCTGGCATCTCTACTAGCTATATAAAGCGAAACCCACGTGTTCCTTAAACCTTGGCAGTGTCATGGTAATTAAGTGGCTGTGAACAGATGTGTGTGTGTTAATTCTGTCTGAAACAAGGCTCCTCAGGCACAAGAGTGTTCTCAGAGTGATAATTTGCATTGACATTCAGTGGCTTTATGTGGATTTATGAACCCCCTTTGTTTCTTGTCTTGATCCATTGAATGTTTGAGGGCAAGAACTTTTTTAGGCAACTTAAAAACTCTGTAGTGTCTGAGCTGGTGGCTGAGCTTCCTACATGGCAAAATACAAACAGTGGCGACAGTGTCTTAGCTTTTGTTCTGTAAACCTGCTGAAGTAGACAGATGGCTAACTGCAAAAATGTGTTTCTGCGTGAATGTGGCATGCCTGCTCCTGTTAAATCCTACACTGATTAGAACTGGAAAGTTTTACAGGAAGTTTTCTTCGTGTCTTTCAGTTTTATTCTGCTCTTCTGGGAACGTGCTTGCATAAACAGTTGCGCTTGTTTTTATGGTGTCGTGCCTTGGGGAAAACATGAACCAGCATTTTTTTTTAAACTGGTAATAGCATCAGTAGAACTGAAACTAAATATATGCTGTTCCTTAGAAAGGAAAGGGAATAGATTATAAGATGTCTGTTTTGAAAAACATAGATTATCCTTCTGAGTACCAACTCTGTAGGAAGTACAGAATGAATGTGGTTATCATGCCAGAAACTCTTGGTTCCATTTCTGGTGTCTTTTTGCCTATTACTGATTCAGTGTTCCATCATAACTTTGTTGACCTCAGTACATGGCTTCTGTAGCCTTAATCTCGAAGGTAATGCTTTTCATCAAGTCAAAAAGCCTTCCTAATTAATTCTCTGTTTCCTGACTCGCGCAAAGGCATGCTCTTCTGAATGCATGTATCCAAAAGATACATTTTCTCTATCCCTTTGGTTGTTCAGTAGTGTGGAAGAGAGATGAACACATGAGAGATTTGAGCGTAGGAGGTGGGTCCTTGCTACAGAGGGTGAGTTTGTGGTGTTGATGCTAATGGTGTTATTTGAGGGAGTTTGAGAATGACTGATGCTTCTAAGTAAATAGTGTCTAAAACTGATGCATGAAGGGCCAGGAGGCTAGATAAAATGTTAACAGGGACTTTGCTGTCGTAGGAGGTGTTGTCTTCCTGCTTTCGCACCGTTCACTGCTTAAACACTTAGGATTTTGCTGTTCTGATCCCACATTAAATAGGCCATGGCAAACCTGGTGTGTGTGAAGCGAGCTTGCTTATCCGTGAAAGCCTAAAACTCTGAACTGTGTCTATCTCTTTGTTTCCAGGAAAAGCAACCAAAAAGCAAATCTGAGCCGAATTCAGGCACCTCTCTTAAAACTCCAGCAGCTAAAAGAGGTCAACAGTCAGTATTCACAGAACCAGCAGCTGTTGGTGAGAGCACCTCCAAGTCTGCCTCGGAAAGCTCAGAAGCTGTGAGCCAGCTGCTGAGCGCGGTGCCGGCTGGAGGACAAATGCAGGAGACGGAGTGGGAGGAAGTGATCATCTCGGAGGCTCACATTCTTGCCAACACCGTCCCTGCCGAAGACAGAGGGAGTGCTGTTGGAGTGATACTGGGTCAAGAGAGCCACCGGCAAGGAGACTCTTCTTCAGAGCAGGCAGAAAAAGACAGCGTAGGGCTGGGGATGCCACCAGCTCCTGAGGTGCCCAGTCCAAATGCCTCTGCAAAAAAGCCAGTGGGGTGAGTCAGTTTTCCATATGTTATGGGAGCGTACAATGTCTATTGTGTGCGGGTGGAACTAATCCAGGAAATTGAAGACTGTTGGCAATGCTGCCTCTAAGACCTGTGCTCTTTGGTTTGTGCCAGTTCAGAATCGTTCTTTAGAGGTTGTTTTGTCCATTAGAGCTAATTACTTTTTTTAAAGTGACAACTAAATTAAAGTCACAGGGCAGATGCATACCTTGTCACTGTTTCTCCTTTCTACTGCAATAGCTCTGGTTTTTGTGCTAGTAAAGCACAGCCCAGGGAAGACAAGCAAACTGAGGCTGAGGGGGAATCGATGGAATTCTTTTCCAGTTGTAGCTCTTACCTTTCAGAATTGATGCTGCGCACAAAGGACAAGAAGTAAAGAGTAAACCAAGACCTAAGCCCTCCTTGCTGGCTGCAGCGAGACCCATGCGAGCCATTCTGCCTGCACCAGCCAGCGTGGGGAGAGAAGCCAGCACTGAGCATCCCAGCAGCAGACAGGCCTTTGCCAGTACTGGTAAGAGCAGTATTTTCTGGTGTGCTTTGGGAGCAGTTGTCTTTCCTCACCACATTGAAGTGATCTTGTGTCAAATAATAAGATATATCTGAAGGGACATGGTGACCTGTGCTAGGGAAGAACACTTTCTCTCTGACTGGGAATGCAGTAAATGGGTCGTGAAACACCTGCTCAGGTCATTCCAAGCTCAGAGGAAAAATCTTACATGACTGTGGTGGCATTTACCAAAGATACCAGAATGAAACAGGACTTGTTTTCCCATATCTAACCTGGTGCATCCTTTTTTTTCCTCCAAGATAAGCATTCCCCTGTGAGAACATCTGGCTTGAAGCCCGGTACTCTGAAACAGTTGGGCCAGTCAGTCCTGCAGCCACCAAGTGCTGAGGAGCAGAAGGTACCTATGGTTTGTTCTTCATTATCTTTCTGTGTTTTTGCCCCCAGATGAGGGACATGACCTGAGTGGTGAGAAAGAGAACATAAAAACGTAACAGCCTTGTGATTATGAGATCTGTGACTGACAAGTTTTTATAATATGGCTCAGAAACATCATGTTTCTGGATGGCTGAGGATAGGAACTGAGCTGAGAGATGCAGTTGGATAGTTCTTCTGTTGGGTGTTTTGAGAACCTCCCAGCTACTTCCAGAAGATGTTTTGGGGATCTGCTAATGCTTTAATACTCTGACATGCAATACTGGGTACTGAGTCTTTCACCGGTGAAATATGACGGAGTGTGCCAAGGTGCTGGAATCCTTCTGTTTGAATTGTAACACCTTGGTATGCAAAGCAGTGTGTTTGTAGTCCTCGATATATTAAATGAACCTTAATGGATATCCAGGGGAGGGGGGGTGTGGAAATTGCTGACGGGTGTTGCTTACAGCACATGTGTAGTAGGTGTCTCACGGACATTGTATTTTTCTGTTTTCCATCTCCAGCTCCACAGTGCTGTGACCAGCAGGGCATCTCAGGTTAAAGTAGTGGAGGTCAAACCAGATATATTCCCTTCCTACAAGTACAGCTGCACTGTAACTTTGGTAAGAATTTTTCAGATAGCCCGATCTATGCCATGGGGAGTGTCATCTCTGGGACGAGATCCTTCCATGACTTTAACTGACTTGCAGAAATCTGTCTAATATTTAATGTGAAACAATCTGTACTTTGTATGCCATCTGTGACCTAATCCAGGGTGACTGTACTCGGTTGCAGTCATGTTTGGAACCTTGTTAAGAACGTTTTTCTTCATGTCCTGGCGTAATCTCCATCCCCTCCTTGAGTTCAGCATGGAGGATCAGTGGTTTCTGAATGAATTTAATGTGTGAGTGTTTGTGGTTTCTGGAGCTGGCCCCGAAATGTTTGGATGCCAGATAAATTATTCTGTGCCAAGTGACAGAGTCTGCTATTTGACCTTTAAATGGGGTCTTACAAAGTGTGGAAAAAGCAGATCATAGTCAGACTTTTCTAAAATCTTGTTGGCATCTAAAAAGTCAAGGTCAGCAAACTTCCTTTTTTTTTTTTTTTTTGCCGTTCAGGATTTGGGACTGGCAACATCACGTGGCAGAGGGAAATGCAAGAACCCCTCTTGTAGTTACGTGTATACAAACAGGCACAAGCCACGAATCTGTCCAAGCTGCGGATTCAATCTTGCCAAAGACAGAACTGAGAAAACAGCAAAATCCTTGGTAAGCTTTGGAGTAGTTTGTCTTATCAAATGGCTGTTGTGGGGTGGGCAGGGAGTTATCTTAGTTTGCAAGTGCCCATGGGAATGTGTTAATTTTATTTTTTTTTTCATGATGGTAAGCTTCTTTAACAGAAAAATGTCCTATTGAAAATACTTGTGACATCTGGACCGTGGTGCTTCACACTGAAACTGAGACTGAGCGTGCTCAGTTTTACCAGTAGATGTCTCTCTAGCTTAAAGCAGCTTGTAACGTGCGGGTACACATGCTGGGGAAATCATCCCTGAAGTCACTTTTGTTTTGTCAGCTTTGAACTTCAGACTTCATCAGAAAACTCCCAAGTACTCTTTGCTTCGTGACCAGTTTGTGGCTAATGTCAATCAAGTTAGTACCCCTTGGATTAGAGCTTCCTATTTCTGGGGGTTTGTAGTGCAAGTTGACTTCCAGCCTGAATTTATTTCTGAATGTGGTATGTGTTTTCTGTTGTAGAAGGATGGTTTTAGGTTGTCTACTGTAAATAATTCTGGAGTTTTGTTCATTTTGATTTTTTTTTTTCATTTGAAGTTCAAAGGTAGCTACTCTCATACAGAATTATTTTGTTTTTAAAAATAAAAAAAATTATCTGACCTGTTCTACCTGAAATGCTTATTCAGCATGTAGACAGACTTAATTTTAGTCCATGTGGTGATATGACTCTTCCACTTGCTTGGTTTTTATTTTGAAGAACATAACTTGGTGTGCTGCATTTAAAAACAAACAAACAAACAAATGGCCTGTGTGAAACTTGCACATACGCAGCTGTCTGTGTGCTTAGCTCAGCTTGCATTTTGAGAGGCGTGTGGCTTACCTCTTCCTCATTTAGCTTTTTCTTATTTTCTGGTTCTAGAAGTGTTTAACATTCCTGTCACGCTGTTAATCGTTGTCTGTGGGTCTTTGGACGGATCATTTATCTCGTTGCTGGACTACACAGAAAAACAGGATGAAATGTTGGTGGAAGAGTTTAAGTGATTAAACAGATCATCCCATTTGCATTCTCGCCATTTTTCTGAGCTACCTAGAGTTTGGTTGTCCCGTGCTTGTTCGATGTGGTCTGAGCCTGTGTGTGCTGGAGATGTGTGTGTGTGTCAGTCTAAGGACTATAGTTGATTTGTTCATTCTGCATATCACAGCCCCTGGCAGGTTGTACAGGAGAATCATAGAATCATCGAATGGCCCAGGCTGGAAGGGACCTCAGAGATCATCTAATCCAACCTCCCTGTCATGGGAAGGGACGCCTCTCAACTAGATCAGACTTGGTTGGCTCCATCCAACCTGGCCTTGAACACCTCCAGGGAGGGGGCAGCCACTGGATAACCTGCGAAGAAAGGCAGTGTTGGTTGCCAGGATTATTGAAGCGTTTATACACCTTCTGGTGATTGTCCTCATTCTCTTGATCCCATTTAATGGTCTTGGTAGTGTTGTAGGAGCTCTTGAAAGGCGGCACTGTGATAAGGTATTTTTGGTGAAGTAACTTAGCTTGAAGTTTACGAGTCAATGATTGAACAGTAGAGAAGAAGTCAAGTCTATGGAGCACAAATGTTACTTTGTTTCTGCTACTTTTTATGACTTCGCTGGCCTTCTGAATATTTCATCCCCGTGCTTCCCGAGCTGAACATGTGTTTGACTTGCCTTCCAGGAGGTCAGTCCGGGTCAGCCTGATGTGTTGAACACTAGTGAGCCCCTAACCCCGTCCCAGAAAGAGATCCAGCGTCAGTCCACCCTGCAGTTGCTGCGCAAGGTAATGCAGATCCCAGAGAACGAATCGGAACTGGCCGAGGTCTTCGCGCTCATCCATGAACTCAACAGCTCGCGGCTCATCCTGTCCAACGTGAGTGAGGAGACAGTCACCATAGAGCAGACCTCCTGGTCAAACTACTATGAGTCTCCATCTACGCAGTGCCTCCTCTGTAACAGCCCATTGTTCAAAGGGGGACAGAAGTAAGATTCCGTTTTAGACTTGTGACTCTTTCAACCTCGTGCTGATATTCTGTGTTGCAAGCTTGCCTGAAATATTTTCTTTAGCTCCTGATGCTGAAGCTGGTGTGACACCGAGTAAGCTACATGCATGTGGAGAGGGTTTAGCTGGTTAGTGATAAGCTGTGTCTGTTTCTTCTGTGCAGCGTAGTTTGTCATAATTAGCATTTCTGTGGAGTCGTAGAGCTTGATCAAAGAGAGATTGTTAAGTCTAGATGGAATCATATTTTTCCTGAAGTGGAATCTTTTCAAGAGTTATCCCTTCTTTGTTTCCCAGTCTGATGTTTTGAGGCTTACGGAGGCAAAATCATGGGATTATAGATGTGCATTATGTGCTCTCCCTTTTCTCCCTCTTCCTGATCTGAATGTTTCCTGTGTGGATCATTTTGCTTATGATCTCACTCTTGTCATGGCTTAGCTTGGGCTTGAATGTATCCTTTTTTGGAACACTTATCCAAACTGAAACCTGAAGGACTTTCAGAAATTAGCTGTATATAGGCTAGATTACCTAAACTACATTGGTCTAAAAGTCCATAGGAGAGCTCCTCACTGAGTCTGCCAAACATCCTCCCGTTACCAAAAGCCTGAGCTGAGATGTCTCCCACAGCAAAACATTGGGTAATTTACTGTTGGGTTTCTTTCTTCAACCAAAAAGATATTCTTGATACCAATTGGTACTAGCCTGACCAAAGTAAATATGTCTAATAGAGATTTTCCCAGCAGAGATACTCTGTGCCCAGTGGAGCTGGAGAGATGCTGTGCTGCTGTGTAAAGGATATGAGCAGTGACCTGACTTTGCCAGGAGAATTTTAAATATAACTTTTTTTTTTCCCTCACTGTGAAATGATATGAACTGGCTTAGACTTATGTACTAATGAACTGATCTCATCTAGAACTTTTTAAGTTATTGCAAGACTGGACTGAAAAACCTGTTGGCTTAACTTTGAATCATCTTTTGTTGTCTGTTACAGTTCCCTTGCTGGTCCTCAGGAGTGCTGGCTGCTGACAGCTAATAGATTACAGGTGGTTACAGCTCAGGTCAAAGTGTGCTTGAACCTGCAATGTCTGGCCCTCCATAGCTTCACTGATATTTACACAGGTAGGAGAAATGTAAGCGTACCGACTGACAGCGTGACTACAGTCCAAATGCTTCAGAAGCCTTGGGACTGTGTCAGGGCATTGTCTTTGCACAGAAAAGCCTATTCCCTGAATAGGGAATTATTTTTTACGTGCACTATTCTTCTACGAGTAAATCTGTATTTGTGGGCAAAACCATGTATGGACACTTTGACGGGGAAGACCGTTGCTTCACCGGTGTAGGTGGCAAATGTTGAGTTTTGCAAGGCAGCCCCTGAGATCATAGTCAAAGTCATCTCTGCAGAGTGCTGATTCTCAGTGTTGACTGGTGACACTCAGTGGCAGCCACTGTGGGCCTCCTGCAAGGCAGCACAGAGCTAAGGAGGTGGACTGGCCACTGCTCCTTGTAGCTTTTTTAATTTAAAGGCCAAGTCTGTGAATGGAGCTGCTCTTGCTAATGTGCAGAGGGAACAGTCCCAAAAGCACTGTCCACGTTTCCATCATCCTCGAACCGAACTTGTATGAGTTTGTTTTGTATCAGTAAGGGATGTATTTCTTCGTGAGGTGGATCTGGAACGCTACAGACAACAACTGTCTTGTTTTAACTGCAGGCCTTTTCAATGTGGGTAACAAGTTGTTAGTGAGCCTGGATCTTCTGTTTGCGATCCGAAACCACATTAAACTTGGAGAGGATCCCAGAGTGGCTGTTGGCAATATTCTTGACTCTGTTCAGGAGCAAACTGCTGGTAGGTTTTCCTTCTTGTTTTTTTTTTTTTACCATAACACACCAAACTGTGACTGGTGATGATTGTTAGGTTATGAAAAAGCAATATTCACTTCTTCTGGTGTGGTATTTTTCTATTAAATCGCTTCCTAAAGCCAATAGTACCTCTATGACCAGTGCTTGGAACAATTCTCTGAGTACTGGTTTGTTTTCATTCTGTGTAGGAGAGTTCTGTTACCTCTCTACTGACTTTAGGAAGTGAAAGCTGTAACAGTGGCATGTTCTCTTTTCAGAAAAAAGCCTGAGCCCTGATGAGCAGGTTCAGCTCCAGGAACTGCTTTGCAATGGGTACTGGGCCTTTGAGTGCCTGACAGTCCGGGATTACAATGATATGATCTGTGGAATCTGTGGCATAACCCCCAAAGTGGAAATAGCCCAGAGGAATGTGGAAAATGTCCTGGCACTGAAAAACATAGAGGTAGGTTTTTCACAAACTTCATGTCCTGTTTGTGTTGAAAGCAGATTGTAATGACTTTTGCTGACTCTGGTCTTTGTAATGCGCGATAGTTACACGAGAAGTTTGTGAGCAGTTTTCTGCTGATGTCTGGCAAGAGGATGTGGCTGGTGATGCCTGCGCTTCCTCTTAGAGGTGTTGATACATGCTTTGGGGAAAACAAGCTCCTCTGTCCCTGAACCACAGCTTTTGTCCACCAGCCTCTGACAGTAGGGACCCTGGATGGAAGTTGCTGAACTTGACCTTCTTCCTTTGACACAAAAGCTTTTTTTTTTTTTTTTTCCCCTAAGTGACACTTTCCTTGAAGTCTTCTCTAATGGAGAGGAAAGCCCTACTAGTAGTATGCACTGTGTGGCTTTTATGTCAAATGAATGGTTTTGACTCTCACCCAATGAAAGGTGACTGTGGAGAACTCTGTGAGCCTGAAGCCGTTTTGGGCCGAGCGCTCTCCAGGGCAGTGCTCACACCTTGAGTGAGGCTAAAACAGAACTGTCAAATGAGCAATAGTTGGTTGTATTTGACCAGTGTGTTTCTTGCTCTTTCTAGTTTACTTGGCCAGAATTCTTGCCATCAAGTGAAGTGAATGTAGAAGACTTCTGGTCCACGATGGAGACAGAGGTGATTGAGCAGGTGGCTTTTCCTTCGAGCATCCCCATCACAAAGTTTGATGCCTCCATTGTGGCTCCTTTCTTCCCTCCACTGATGAGAGGAGCGATGGTGATCAATACTGAGAAGGACAAGAACCTGGATGCACAGCCGGTGCCAGGTAACCGCTAAGGTTGTCCTTACTAAGAGAGTCTGATTGCAGAGGGCTGCATCCACAACTTCAGTGCCAGTCAGTATTTGTTTCATGTGTGTGCTGCAAATTGTGCTCGGTATCTCAGTATCACGATCTCAAAAAAAAAGTGAATAAATTTTTACAGAATTTGCTGCAAACTGTGCTTGTTATCTCAGTATCACGATCTCAAAAAAAAGTGAATAAATTTTTACAGAATTTGAAAAGGGACTAGGAGATGAATGTGTTAGTCCTGATCAGTGTTGTCAGTATTCAGTATAACCAGAGCATTGACTGCTTTTAACAAGAAACCATGAGATAAATAAGGTCAGATATATGGAGCTAAATTTAATTAGCCAGTTCAGTTTAACAGTTTAGCTATTAGGTGTAAGAAGGGAAACTGGCTGTCCAAGCTTAACAAGACTGTGAGTTGGCTTTGCAGACAGGGCTGCAGCTGTTTCAGAGAGCTGAGCTGCAGAAGGGCTACGTGGGCTTTTGTGAAAGCGAAGCTCTGGAGAAAGAACCAGGGAGGAGAGGCCAAGGGTAAGGCTCAAACCACTCAGTCCAAAGGCTGCAGTCACATTTCTCTGCGCTCTTCTGTCACTTGTCGGGATGGTCATTTAAAGGTTGTGAACGACAGGATAGGCAAGTGCTCATGGACTCCGCAGCTCCGCTGGGCTCAGTCTGTTGACCTCGCTAGAGAAGGATTCAAGAGAAGTGCGGAATGTGGTGTGCTTTGGTGGAAATAGGGCTGTTCATGGCTTTCTCTTGCTGACAGTTGGTTGTGCAGTCTCTGCTTCTGTAATCTTCAAAAGAAACTATTTTGCTGACCTGCGAATGAGTGCTGAGACTTGTTTCCTGCCTTTGCAGGTAACGGGAGTGCTTTGGTGAGGCTGCTTCAGGATGAAATCTTGAGGCTTGAGCAGATAAGCTCTTACAGTAAGGAAGAGCTGCAGAACTTTCTGACACAGTGTGGCATCCCCTGGGAGGCTTCTGATACTGAGGTAATGGCTTGTTTGCCCACACACAAGCCTGCAGGAGTGGAGCTCTTCTTCACTGCCTTTCCCTCATTCACACTTACTGTCCTAGATAATTAGCTTCTCATCTGACTGCGCTAAGGGCAGGGGTGGGTTAGAAGTGGGTGCCTGCACATTATAGGATAACATACACATGGTGAAATAAATTGAACCATTGTGGGTTAGAGGAAAGGAAGCCTCTAATTACCTTGTCACAGGCTCAGCGTCGTCATCTTCATGGTGCCAAGCGTGGAATTAGGAATTTATTGGATGAAGTGCAGATTAGCATTTGGGATACCTTGCCTGTAGCCTTCTCCTTAATTTTAGCCACATACAGACTTTGTCTGGGGCTTGTCTTTTGTAGGACCAACTCTGCTACTCCCTCCTGGCTCTCTATGAGTTTGTACAGAATGGCCCAAGCACTGCACAAGCCTCTCCTCATCACACGGGAGGGAAAATCTACAAAGTGTGTCCACATCAGGTAGGGAAGGCTGGGGTCAGCCGTGTTTCTTCTTATCTTGCTATTTGCTATTGTCTGGCTTACCCGTGTGGAGCTCCCTCATTAAACTGAAGCGATGGACTGGGCCTCCCTGGGCCTTGGGAATGAAATGTGCTGCCTTGGGGGCTTGGAGGCCTGCAGGAGGTTTCAAGATCGACTAGTGATCTAAAGCCTGGTTTTGATGTTGCTGCTGAGGTGGAGGTGAAAGTCACATCTTCCTGAACAAGAGAGAGGGAATTACGTACACGGAGGAAGCAGAATATCTTTAGAGAAAATACTGTCTGGTTACTGTATTGTCTGGAATACCTCAAAGGAAGCTTAATTTTTTTGAGACATCATTTTTTTTCCCTGTAAATTTTCAGGTTTTTTGTGCTGTGTGGTGTTAATCCTTTTCTTTCCAGGTTGTGTGTGGCTCAAAGTACATAGTAAGAGGAGAAAATGCCCGGGATCACGTGGATTTGTTGGTTTCCTCACGGCACTGGCCTCCAGTGTATGTTGTTGATGCAGCCTCTTCAGTGGCACTTTGCGCAGACGTCTGCTGTCCTGGCCTGACTTCCCAGATGTGGGGGAAAAACCAGGGCTGCTTCTCTGACCCCATGGATCCTCCAACGGTTAGTTATGTTTGCCTTGCTCTCTGCTATGCCAATCCAATATGGAAAAGTTTCGAGTGAGTTTTAAAATTAGAAAAAGAAATACTTTAAAAGTCTATGTAACCTGTAGTGTGCCTCAAGATCATTCAGCCTGGTAGGTGTCTCCTGACTGACGGCTTTGCCAGTGCACAGCTTCTGAGCAAAGTGGAAAGAGCTACGTGGTGCTTGGGGCATTTTATTAGGTTCATGCTCCCTTACGAGGAAGAGCTGTGCTGGAAGTGTGTTGTAACAGTTCAAATCACGACCTTTGGAGCGTGTTGCTTAGTTTGACACAGCAACTCACTTCTCTTGAACTACTGCTATTACTTGAGAAATGGGAGAGGAAGAAGGTTGGTAGTGCCTTGAGATTATCTCTGTGGACATACGAGTGAGAGGGGGAACGTACGGAACCACCTTTGCGGCATTTAGGGGAAGCCCAAGTCAGCCCTCCCTCTGGCCTCGGTCATGGTGCTGGTTGGAGTTCAGACAAACGGTGGTTTTGTCTGGTTCTCCTCAGCTGTGGTGAAGTTAACTTGTGTTCTACCTGGTGTGTGTTTCTCTCTCTTGCAGTATGTGTCCTGCCCTGAGCTGCTAGACCAGCAGTACAGCGTAGATGTGACTGTGGCTGAGCACTCCCTTCAGCACCCGATCACCAAGTCATCGGTGCGCCGAATTGTTCACACGGGTTCGGAGCAGAACGGCCACCGAGATCCAACGGCTCGGCACCACTGCATCTCCCTGTGCCGAGAGCTGGAGCCTTACGGCGCCATCATTGCTGCGATCGCCGACAGCAAAACTAGCAACGTCCGCCAAAGGCCCATCACCTTTGAGAATGCCACACACTATTACCTCTACAACCGCCTCATGGATTTCCTCACCAGCAGGGAAATCGTGAATCGGCAGATCCAGGAGATTGTGCAGAGCTGCCAGCCTGGGGAGGTGGTAATTCGTGATGCTCTTTACCGGCTCGGAGTGGCCCAGATTAAAACAGAAACAGAAGAGGATGAAGAGGGGAAGCAGGAGGGTGATAGAGGTTGCTGAGTAACAAAACGGCTTGTTGGTTTCTCTCTCCACTCAGGTGGAGCTGTCTGGCTTGCGCATTTGTTTTTACAATTCGGAGATGTGATGCCAGTGGTTTTGACTGCTTTAATGACCAAAGAGCTATGTGCTTCCATAGTGTCATGATAGCTGCTGCAAGCATGGGTCACCCTCCTTTGTTGAAGGCTGCAACTGCCTCCCGAGGTGTGTGATGGACCCACAGTGGTGTGAAACATTGCGAGTGAAGAAGAGAGAGGCATTTCTGGTAGTGGGGAGTGTGTGTGGTCAAGGTTTTTTAATTCTGAATCTTCCTTGCTGACTTCTTTGTGCATATTGGTGGCAGCGCTGGGGGTGTGGGAGCAGGCATGAAAGGCAGATAGCTAAGATTTCCCCCCAAATGTTCTGAATTTCTTAGGACACTGACTCCTGCTTGGAAATTCTGCAGAGCTCTCATATGCATTGACTGCAAGGAGTCTTTAGTTGAGGAGGAGGAGCAGCCATGCAAGTTTAACACACCCTATCTGGGGAACCTTCCTGGAGGCTGCACTCCTGGATTCTGGATTGTCCATGCTTCGGCTGCAGAAAGAATTTCTCGTCCCTTTACATGAGCACTAATAATTTAGAAGCTGGAACATACAGTAAATGAATTGTTCTGTATGTTAAAGTAAGAGGCCCCAAGGGAACCAAGCTCTCTGGCAGGCTGTGTGAGCACTGTGAGAAGTGGTAGCTATGGAAAGGCGAAGGACTCTAAATTTCTGTGCTGTCCCCCGGACAGTTTGGTTTGGATATTTTTTTTTGCAGTTGCATTCTGTTCAAGGACTTGCATTGCTGTTGTCCTGGCTTTCGAACAGAATCACAAAGACTGTGGGATCAAGGAGAAACGCTGAACGCGGCATCACCAGCACGAGCAGGGTTCCCTGTTCTGGCAGGTTGTATGAGCACTGTGAGAAGTGGTGGCTATGGAAAGGCGAAGGCTCTAAATTTCTGTGCTGTCCCCTGGACAGTTTGGTTTGGATACTTTTTTTTGCAGTTGCATTCTGTTCAAGGACTTGCATTGCTGTTGTCCTGGCTTTCGAACAGAATCACAAAGACTGTGGGATCAAGGAGAAACGCTGAACGCGGCATCACCAGCACGAGCAGGGTTCCCTGTGCCACCCTCAGAGGAGGGACCATGGGAGCTGCAGCCAGACATGCAACCTCAACACTCTGTCAGGTGTCCTGTTTGCCCTCCTGGTGTCCACACAGCACGGCGGGTTAGAGAAGTCTCGTGTTGCCCAGGTTGACTTTGTCACCTGCTTGGGAGGAGTCAGGCTGAGAGCTCTGTCCCTGCAGCCTGGCTGAGGAGTGCTGTGGGCACGATGTCATCTGCTGGCTATAAAGGTGAAGGTGGATAGATGGTTGCAGAGGAGAGAAGCGGGATGCTAGACTGCTAACTTGTCACCTGAAGAGTTTATTTTGTCTGAGTGAGCAGTGGGGAAGTTTCAGAGGCTTGCGGTGTGGTTGAAAACTCCCTTCTGTGAAGGGGCACCTATTGAGTACCGTACTGTTAAAGTAAACGTATTAAGTCTGAGCAAATGCAGTAATTATGGCTTGGGGTTTTTCTGTTAAGAACATTAACTTATTATAATGAGACATTAGTGACTTTTTCAGTCAGTGGTAAAATTTAATAAATTATCTCCAATTTTGGGGGTGAAACTGTGGCCCAGTGACTTGTTTTTTCTGTACAAGACCTGGTGGACCCAGTGGGAAAGGGCACAAACACTGTGTCCGTGTACACTGCAGTTCCAGTCTGCACTGCCACGGTTGGGAGGAAAAGCCTGGCATTCACAGAAGCAAGGTGGTTTGAGAGGAGAACGTCAAGGAAGTGCTTCAGCCACTTCATTAGAGCTTCAAATAAAGTCCTAGCTAAAGTATAGTTCTTGTAAGGGACAAGAATGTAGCTTCTGCAGATGGTTGGCTCCCGTGGTGTACCTGCTCTTGTTCTGCATTTCCCGGCACAAGGCAACTCCTGAGGTGACTTTTATAGGAGAGAGTCTGCAGCAGGTGACAGTAACATCTCTGCGGGATGTGTTCAATAGCCTGGGCTGGAGCTCCTGCTGCACCTGAGCCGTTGTGAGAGGAAGTTCTGCCACAGTAAGCTTGAGTCTCTGGGCCCCGGGGCCCTTCTGCCCTCGGCATTGCACCCCCTTTCCCACACAGCCTGACAGCACGTGCCTGTCTCCGCACAGTCACCGTTGTCTCATGAGCCATCATCACAACAGAAAATACTCCCCCAGTATATCTGTGCACAGGGATTACTTTATTTTTCCTGATTACAGACAGACCCATCGGAGCAAAGCGCTTTAAAACCTTGCTTTTAGTAAGTTTTTGCATTACACAAGAGTGAATAGTTTTGAGAATTGGTAAGGAACTTCTGAGAACTGTCTGAAGAACTGCTGGAGCTGAGTTGCAGGGTGTGATAAGATGGGCAAGTGCATCACCCATACTCTGATCTGTTCCTCTCAGAACAGTCCTTAAAGCCCTGGAAGAGACTTATTTTGTTAAATATTTTATTTTTTGTAATGCTGACAGGTAGAAGTACATTAGTTTTTTACTTAGTAAGGAGGAATGAATCACTTGGTGTTAGCAAAAAACCAGTTTTAATATAATCAGAAGTGGCCACAGCATAATTGTTCACAGTATGACAAAGGCTACTTGTCCCAGAGTACTTTGTCTCACTGTGGTTTCCCTGAGCTCTGTCAGTGCTTGTACCTGGAATACCGATCCTTTACCCACTGAGTCAGGTGAGAAAGTTCTTTAGCTACTTGACTGGGTGGCTGTGGCATTAGTAACCCTGAACAAGGGCTAGGTGAGAAATAAGTTTAAGGGCATTAGGCCCTAGCTTATTAAAAAAAAAAAGCCAAACCAGCCACTCAGCTCTATTATTTATACACTCAGGAAAATATATACAAGAGCATATCTGCAATCATGACAAGTGCAGCGACTGCTGCGTGTTTAAAAATTCAGAAGTTTTGTAGGATATGTATTATGTTGATCATTTCCAGATCTGTTTAAGCTGCCATTCTTTCCTGGATTGGAGTTGTGTTCAGTGCTCATGTGGAAGAGCACTGCTTATCTCTGTTTCACCTGAGGAATAACTGCCCCTCTTTCCTGTTACTGAGGCACAAGTTCACATAACCCTGGGGTTGGCTCCTTGGCTTGCTTCACCCCAGCACTCCCTGCAGAAGCATCAGCTGCAGAGAGGCAGATTGCATGAGGAAAGTGTAGAGGTTAATGTGTATTTAATGCTAAGTAGAGGTTTTGCCTGTATGTAAACATGCTGCAACATCCAGGGTGAGACTGATAAAGGGAAGAGAGCAGGACCAAGACAAGAGCTGCTTCTGGTGTGTGGAACAATTCCAACTTCAGGGCTCAAGGTGTACTCATAAAACACAAAGGTTCAGTCCCGTGAGTGACATTTGGAAACTTCTTACTTGGCTTCAACTTGTATTTAAAAAAGAAAACCCTACAATAAACACCCCACAGCCTCCTCTAGGGGAAAGTGGGGAGGCAGGTGACAGGGACTTCTCTGTACGGTGTAGAGATGGAGCATGTTATCATCTATAACAACTCTATGCTATGCTTGAGATAAGACCTTAGGGAGCCTGTGGTGGTGGTTTTGAGTCACCCCAGTGCTATCCTTTCTGTGAGGTGGTAACACTCAAACTTCAGAAAGCACAGAGAGGAGAACCAAAGCAGAAGGTTTCTGTGTCCTGGGACAGAGCAGCACCAGGTGCTCTGCAAAGCCAGGAGGACAAGGTTCTACCCCGGGGCACTGGCACCAGCTAACAGAACTGGTAGTTGTTGCTCTTGAGAAGGGGCTGGCCACTCTCCTCTTGCTCACAGGATTCCTCACAGCAGCCAGAGGTATCGCAGCCGCTGTCTTCTTCAGTGCTGGAGGGGAGGTTGGTGTAGTCCTTAAAAGCAAAAATCACCCAAACAATGTACTCCAAGTGAATTTTAGTCCCTTTGATTTGTACAACACGTTTCTGCACGGATGGGCGTGCTCACTAAGCAGTAGCCTGTGCTGTGCCCACAGGGCAGGGCCAGCTGGCAGGATGGGCACACCCGGGCTCTGTGGAGCTGCAGGACATCTAGTCACAAGGCAGCGCCCCTCCTGCCCAGCTGCACACCAAGTGCAGGGGAGCGGGGCAGGGCTGCTGCATGGGCAGCCGCATCGCTGCCCATAGAGGTTGCTGCCAAGCAGCTGCTTTTCTTTGCCCAGCCTTCATTGGTCATGGTGGGGAGTGACAGCCCTTCAGCAGGGGGACATCTGGATGCCTCTCTGCACTTCCTACCAACACAGAACCGCTCCCATCACCAGGAGAGTTCTCCAGGAGCTCTGTTCATTCCCCCAAGGTCCTCACCTGCTCCTTATGCACCTCCAGTTCTTTCTGAATGAAGCAGCCAATCCAGTCAAAAGTAGGTCTCTGCGTGGGCTCCAGGCTCCAGCATGCCTGCATGATCCTGTACCTGCAGGGACAAACCGAGGCAGGGCGATTACACCTTCCTGGAAAGGTGCTGGAGGGTCTGCACCCCAAGGCTCTTCCCTGCAGCACTCTGTGTTTCAGGCCCACGGTACCGAGCAGTCCCTTGTCCTCCTGTCTCTAAAACCCATGGTCACTGCAGGTGTGGTGCTCCAGGGAAAGGTGAGCGCAGAAGCGGACAGAGCAAAGTAATTGATCCAAGAGGGGCTGCATGCCTCCAGTACTTTTTTGATTAAGCTTAAACTGTAACCTGCTCAGGCTTGTCTTCTCCCAGTCTTAGGGTCATAAGTAGCTGACTGAAAAGAAAAATCCACCAAGCTCAGGGATGTAGACATACAACATGAGCTCTCCTGTCTTCCTGTCCATAAATGGGGGAATCATTGGATGGAGCATCATAACTGACTGCCCCAGGTCTTACTTTTCTACAGGAGGAAGGAGCAGCCTAGGAGGATACAAAATGAATCTCAAGGGCACCTG